GAAGCTTTCTCTCTACTCAGTAATGGCACATCAGCCAGCTTAGCAAATCAGGTACAGTTCCTGTCTGACATTCTCAATGTCCGTACATTATTTTACATGAGAGTTTCTATATTTTATTTCACACAAGTTAATTGCATTTTTTAGGAATAACAAATATCAGTGTTTTTTTTCCTCCCTTTTCAAGGAACCATATCAAAATAATTTTATTTTAAAATATTTCCATTGCTGTGGTGCTGATAACATTATTAAAGCAGAAAAAATTATTAATCTAACTTTGCTTTTCACTGTCAAAGCTTATATTTCACTTACCTAGACCTATACTTTCTCTTCCTGGTTCTTGCATATTAGCAGTCTGTAACTGTACCAGAACCAGGAAGTGAAACAGCTGAAGAAAGGTATAAAATGAAAGTAGACTGAAGGATTTCACTGTCCAAGCTGAGTGAAGTGCAAATTTAAACATTTTTTTAATTTATTATTTACTATTTTGTATTCCTGTAGCACCTAGGGACTCCAATCACAGACTGGGAACCCATTGTGCTAGGGGCTGTTCAAACATAGAATGGAAAATAATCAGCTCACTGATTTCATTGCAGGCTTTTAGGCAATTTCATTAAAACATTTCATATTTAAAAAAAAGTGTTTGACAGTCATTGTAGGCTACTAAATTTGGGGCCCAGCACTAGTTGACATTGTTCCTGTATTTAAAAAAAAAAGGTACTAGGGAAGCACAATTTGAAGTTTACATTGATGGATGACTTGCCTTAATATCTGTCTAGCAATGAGAATCCACCTTAGATCATTCCTTGTAGCCACTCGTAATCTGTTTTTCCTTTGAACATTTTCCCTTTTATGGAAAATTTAAACACTGCGGCTGTGTCTAGACTGGCAAGTTTTTCCGGAAAATCAGCCGCTTTTCCGGAAAAACTTGCCAGCTGTCTACACTGGCCACTTGAATTTCCGGAAAAGCACTGATGATCTCATGTAAGATCGTCAGTGCTTTTCCGGAAATACTATGCTGCTCCCGTTCAGGCAAAAGTCTTTTTCCAAAAGACTTTTGCACAGAAGGGCCAGTGTAGACAGCAGAGATTTGTTTTCTGCAAAAAAGCCCCGATCGCGAAAATGGTGATCGGGGCTTTTTTGTGGAAAAGCGCATCTAGATTGGCCACAGACGCTTTTCCGCAAAAAGTGCTTTTGCAGAAAAGCATCCTGCCAATCTAGACGCGCTTTTCCGAAAATGCTTTTCACGGAAAAGTTTTCCGTTAAAAACATTTTCGGAAAATCATGCCAGTGTAGACGTAGCCTGCAAGAACTGAAGTTGCAACTGATGAAGTTGCAAATGCAGAATCTCAAATCTTTGTGTGCTGGCGTCTATCATTTTAAACTGAAAGTAGGAAGAAAAATGTGTTTGCACTGTTGGAATATGGGCTCACATTACACCCAGGTGAACTGTGGTTTTAAATCAAATTTGGATCTTAGCATAAGGAATAGGCACAAAGCCTGTGATTTTAATAAGAGTGAGATCATGAGAAGGAAAAGTTGTTTGTGTTAAACTTGTGGTGACCTTCAAAATATCATTGTTACCTCAGCCCAAACCTTAAATAAGGTAATAGAAATAATAAAAAAACAAAAACAACAACTTGGGTATCAGGTGCAGTAAATATTTGGTTGAGTGGATTATAAAGAAATGCTTAATTTAGTAATGAGTGAAATACGGTAAAATGAGATAAGAAAACCTTGAAGAAAGAATCATTAACCTTCGCTCAGTCAGGGCAGAGGATAGAGCTCTTAAGCTGCTTCATCTGGCCTTAGCCAAGGTCTGGTAACCAGAAGTGATCGCACTTGCTTGTTATAGTGCATAAAAGGCAGGGCTTTGTAAGGGTTCTTTGTCAGAGCTTTTCCTTTCCCTCTGGAGTCACGCCGTGATTGAAGGGGGTCTCCTGAGCCAGAACCTTTTTGGCTGACGTACTTACAGCTCTGTTGTTGCTGGAGTGGAGACTGTAGGTATATTTGCATTTTGGATCTAACCAACACCAAGTGGTCTTTGGACTAACACAGGAATGTTTGTGTGGAACCGGAGTCATGGTAGGCCTTAATACAATTATTAAGAAAATTATTTCCAGCATCATCATTCATACTTCTGTGAAGTTGCCAATTTATTCCTTGCCTAGGGCTCAAAGTCAGCAGTTGTTTTGGTGGGAACCTTTTCTTGTTTTTAGTTTTGCTGTAAAAATTAGCGGTTATTAAATGGAAACATATGTAAGCTAAGAAAGGCTAGTTATGCAAGATAAGGCTAATCAGATCTCATGCTTTGTGGGGCTAGCTGATTGGCTGTGGGAATCAGGAAGGAATATTCTCACCCACATGCAATCCCATGTGCAGAATTACTGAGAAGGCCAGGTATTATGGGGGTTTGTTACTTCAGAGGAATGCAGGTATTTGTTTCTGCTGAGGATGAAGTATCAGGCTAGCTGGAATAGTGGTCTAACGGTACGTTAATTATTCCTGTACTGAAAGGTGGGTGCAGGGGAGGAGAAAAGGGTGAGAGGAGGGAAGCAGCAGAGATTGCACTGAAGCGATTTGGGAAGGGGGATTTGGGGCTGTGAAGCACTAACACATTTCAAAAGATGTAATGACGATCTCTTCTTCTCCTTCCCTTCCCTGCCTGGCAGATGACTTCCAATGGATTGGGCTCCATAGATGATATTGAAACAGGTAAAGCTTTCTCCTTTCTGTTTCTCATGGCAGCAGTGAAGCACCTGCCCAGGTTGGCTGGACTAATAATTGCTTTGTCTTCATTTGGACCCCTTCTGCCTTTCCTGGCTTTGGAAACTGGAAGAGACCAGCCAAGCGAGGATGGGGGCAAGAGGAGGTGTGGAGCTGGAGTAGGTGCTGTTCTCCAGATTGGTTTCTTTTCACTTCTTCAGAATCTTCAGTGAATGATTAGGACACTGGTAGCGAGGAAATCAGTTTAAGAAGGCACCTACTAGAACTTTATATAAATGGCACTCTAGCTATCCAAGCAGAGCAAGGGACATGTCATATTTTTGAATAAGTGGGGACTAATCAATGCAACCAACAAACAGATGGGGATGTAACCTGTTCTCAGCTGTGCTTCTCTAAAGCTGGGTTTGAACAAATGCCATTCTGCTGTACATTCCCAAACAAAGCAACTTTAAAGTTAAGCCTGTAGACACAAAGCCACGCTTTGAATTCATGCTCCCCTCCAAGAACATTAGAATTGGAGCCTTATATTTTTAGAACCCCAGGAAACGCAGAGTGAAAGTTGCAAGGTTGCACTCTTCGTGTCAGGGATTAACCTACCTTAACTCTCTCCCGTAGTAGTGCCAGTCCAACACCTTCCCTGCTTAACAGAGTATTGCAAACCGTGCTCCAGAGCACATCAGTTTTTATTTGTTCTTTGCATAAATGTCGGCAGTACTAAGTGTGAAGATTTGTTGCTGCATTAACTATTGCTGGGCCCCATTTCACAGTCTGGGTGTATGAAGTTTGTATGTGGAAACTCATTAGCTCTGTGCTTAAACACTTTTGAATAATTGACTATCACATGGAATCATAAGACCCAGACCTGGGAGATAATGTTGGGTGTCTCTTACGAGAGCCTTCAGTATCTAGCAGAATTGAGCTGTTAGACTGACGAATGATTGCTTTTGCTTTGCCGTTTGTCTCTTGAGGAATTGGTATGTACACTTCGTAACACTGTCAAGCAGCCCCCGATCGCGAGCCAGTTGAGATGAAGGTGTTGCTGATAACAGGCGTTGCCGATAACAGGCATTGCCTATGTTATGCAAGAAGTCAGACTAGATGATCACAGTGGTTCCTTCTGGCCTTGGAATCGCTGAATGTGGAACTCTTTGTAGTGGCTGGAAAAAGTGGTAGAATTGTTCTGGCGTGTGTTTGTTTTTTTTCCAGGACATCTCTACAGGGGCAGAATGAAGGTAGTTTGGGTGCCTGGCTTGACACTTGCGTGTGTAACTCTGCATCTCCTGGGGGTCTAACATTTGGACTGTTTCTTTTTAAACTCTAACAGTTTTGAAGAATAGTGTGTGCTCAGATGACAAATGTGTGCTTGCCACTTTAACTTTACCTTAAAAGAATGAGGCTTTGGGGAGGAAGGAATTACCTCCTTTTCAAATAGGACACTGGACCAGAGAGAGAAGGAAGCTCTGGGGAAAGCTGTCTCTCTTTCCTCCCCGCTCCCAAACCACTGAGGGGAGCCTCAGTAAGGCTTCCTGCCTTAAAGATCTGCATGTCTCCTAGAGACACGGAGAGGAGGGGTACTCAAGAGTGAGGCACCACTCTGGCAAGGGCATCTGATGAGTCTTGTAATGTTTGCTGGGGACCCAATATTCTGTATGATTTTTGGGAGGTTTCTCTGGGCTTCCTTACCCAGCTCTCCTCCCCAGTCAGGCTGTCCCCCCCCCCACACACAGGAAAACTCAGAACTTAGAGAGCCTGAAGGAAAGTGGGTTTTAGTGGGGGGCACAGGTGCTCCAAGGAGCAGAGGGCTGGGAGGACAGCTGAACTTTGCTGGAGGAGGCAGTAGAGAGGCATTAAAAGCCACCAGACAATGGCGTATAGCCGGGGTGGGGAACCTCAAGCCCGAGGGCCAGATATAGCCCCCAGCTTGCCTGGTTCTGGCCCCCCACAGCTAGAACACAAAATCAACTATCCTCCCTTTCTTCCCCGCAGGCTCTGGTGTGCAAGGGGAATGTGGGGAGTGTCTTGTGTCTGGCCCCCAACTGATTTTTCTGTGGATCAGCAGCCTCCGACCCAAAAAAGGTTCCCCTCCCTGGTGTATAGAGTAACTGGACTCTGGGCTTATGGACTCTGGGTCAAAACTCAACACCATTGAATTCAAGAGTGGTTTTGCTGTGGGTCGGAGACCCTTAAGATTTGGCGCACAGGCATTACCGTGGGAGGTAATCTTTGTTTGACTAGTCACTTGAAGTTCTGTAAAGGCCTTTGTGAGGCCCGAGACCTAAACCAAAGGCCAAGAATCCTCAGAACTGGAGCTGCCAGCCTCTGAAGGTTTCACCTGCTCCGTGTTTGAGGATCAACTGAATTGTACATTTCATGTTCTTTGGCCAAACTGCGCTTGACTTCTCCCCAGGCGCCATGTGACTGGCTCTGTGTCTCTTCCCCCATGCAGACTTCTCCATGGACCTGCAGTGCATCCCTGCTCCCCTTGCTACCTCCATCCCTGTGAGTGAAGGCACAGCCCTTTCATCCTCTGACATGGACACAAAGGGCCTGTCCACTTCTCTGCCTTCCGCCACACTGCTCCCTTCTCCGGATTGCATGTCCCTGCCCGTGCCTGAGAGTGTAGAGGACTTCACAGATGGGGAGGTTATTGGAGAAGAACTGGACTCTCTCCTGGATTCCCTGGCTGATGGGTCGCAGTACTCTCTAGTAAGAGCTCTGGTCGTCTTCTGAATTCATCCTTTAGAGCATGTTCTCGCTCTCCTTGCTGTCACATGCTCCTCTGGTGTGTGTGCTCTCCTCCTTTTTCTTCCCATCACTAGCTTGGGTCTCTAAGGAGCCCATCTTAGGTCCTGACTGGAATGGCCTGGTGTGAGTGGAATACATAAATTCAGATGGAGGGGCTAATCTCCATGGGTCACGAAGATAGCACCTTTCCCTCTCCCAGCCCCTTGCTTTTCAGTGTTTAGGGATGGAAATGGACTGAGGGTAGAGGCTGGCTTATTGCTCTGAAGTTAAGTGCTATGCACTCTGGAGTGGGTGTCTGTGTGATACTTGCTGCTGTAGCGTGCTCTGTCCATCTGCCCGTCTCTGACAGCTTCCTCCAGTCCTTTCTCTGACATGCTGTCTGTGCCCTTTTCCTCCCAACTCCCAAAGTCTCTAGTCCAGGGGACCATTCCCACCAACTTGCCTACTGAGATGCCCCAGCTGATCCCTGTGTTTCCGGGTGGAACCCCTCTACTGCCCCCCGTGGTGACAGCCAACATCCCCATCTCCACACCACTGCCACCTGCCTCCTTCGGCCTGGTGATGGATCCCACCAAGCAGCTCTCCTCTTCATCTGTCCTGGATGCCTTTGAGCCCACAGGGGGCAGTGGTGGCTCCCCCTTGGATGCGCTGGATTCACTGGACCTGCTCCCGTACTCAGAGCCACGGCTCGATGCTCTGGACACTTTTGGGACTAGCAGGGGCTCGCTGGACGCCTTGGATTCCTTTGCTGTGGGTAGGTGCAGGGGCATGGCAGTGTGGGGGTTGCCGGCGTTTGTGCTACTGTGGCAGTGCCTCTAGAATGTTGCATTTAGCTCTGGGCATCTCCACCATGATAAGCATATGTCGATGCCGGAGAAGACACCAGTAATTAAAAGATTCCAGAGAATTGATTGGGATGGAGAAAAGATAAAAAATTTCTAAATACCCGCACAGCTTGTCTGAGCAGCAGTGGGGGTGTGGTGGAGACATGGCTGCTGATTTCAAGCATCTCGCGGGTAGAGACACCAAGGAGGAAGAGCTGTTGTTCAGGGTTATCCCAGGGGAGGTAACAAGGGATGTAATAGCGTAGTCAATTAACCGATAAGCAAAAGCTCATCATTTAATGCTATAGATTACATGCATTCTTCCCCCCCTTTCCCCCCTCCCAGTAAATTTTTTAGCAGGCTGGACAGCAGCCCAGCTCAGTCCTGGCTTGCAGCGGGTCTGGGACCTACCCCTGCTGCGGCTCTGCATTTAAAGTGTATTAGGAGCCAGACGGGCAGGCAGCCCAGCTCAGTTCCAGCTCATGCCAGGTCTGCGAGCTCAGACTTCCCCCCTCCCCGCCCCTGGACAGCCCATGCTGGTGGCAGCCAGTCCATGAGGGACTCCCCTCACAGTCCAACTCCCACCTGGCACCCCACGCTGCTGCCTCTAATACAGAGGCAGCAATGTGGAGTCGCAGAGGGCTCCTCGGGAGTGGGGCTGCAGCGCCGTGGTTGCTGGCACCACCCCCGAGGACTATAGAATAGTCAAGTAACCGATAAGAATTCATGAGGTTACTCGACTATTCAGTTACCCGATATTTAACATCCCTAGAGATGACTAGAGTAATGAGAGGACATTCCGGCTTGATACGAAAGAGACGTTGCCCGACACGACTTTCCTAACATGTGAATAGTCTCCTGAGAGAAGTGATGGGAGCTCTCTCGCGCCGAGTCCTTTAAAACAGACTTTGGTAAAGTCTTGGTGAATTGACTTTAAGGCAGGACTTGGCATTGAGCAGAGTGGGGTGGACTAGATGAATTAGTCGGTCTTTGCCTCCTTTGTGCTCTGTAAGCAGTGAGTGCCATAGCACAAGGACCAGTTCAGTCCCACTCTGTTGGACCGGGCTATGGAGGGAGAGTAGGCAAGGAGCAATTCATCCCCTTGAGGGGTAGGTAGGCTTCATGGGGGTCTGTGCAAGCATGGAGACGATGCAGCAGACTTAATGCTGGAACGTCCATCACAAGTGGAGAAGAGATGGCTCAGCAGGACTGTGCTGGAACTGAGACTCCCATTGGTGCTGAATCCCTTCAGTCCTGTGCTGGTTGTGGCAGTGGGGGTCTGTTGCCTTCAGGGGTTCAGAAAAGGGGACACCGTTGCAGAGATTTTCAGGTCTCTGCACTGGGTACGGGAGGTTCCTGGAAAATGAAAAAGGATTAAAATCTTGTTGAACAAGCATTAATCTGGGTCTTGGGGATCAGAGCAGCTTCCAAAATTGAGATGTGTGTTTGGGATTTTTCTTCCTCTGCCCAGAAGAAACTGGTCCTCAGGAACTGCGGCACGCTGTTGGGAGCCAGAAACCATCTCCTGTGGTGAGTGAGCTGCTGCCCCTGCCAGATGTACCAAGGTGTTTGTGTGTCAAGGCAGTGGGCAGGGCACGGGGCCGTTCTCACACTCTGGGCCCTTCTTAATCAATTTCAAAATCTGGTGGCTTCACTTACTCTGGGCTGTGTGCATGACCCCCTTCCCATTCCCCTGTGCGGTGGCAGGGCTGTACGGAGGCCTTTCTCCGTGTGATAGCACAGCATTTCCCCTTTCCTTCTTTCCCCTTCCCTTACTGTATTGCTGGGCCGTAAATGGAGTTGAATGCTTCATTCCAGTCTCCGCCACGTATGCAACTGTATGTTGGTCTCATTGGGTCTGAGGTTGGGCTCAGGCTTTTCCGCTCTGGAGCTATGTGGGTAGGTGACTTTGCTCCCTCTAGACTAAATTATTGAGAGGGGCTGGGGCATCATTGAACATCTGTCCTTCCTGTTGTCATTGTGTCTGATGCATCGCACAGCAGTGTTTGTTCTTGTGTTCAAGTGCCTCCAAACGCACAGCTCATCGGGCTGGAATGTGGGGAGAGGAGCCCTTTCTCCGAGGCTGGGGGAAGAGCTGTTGTCCCCTGGGTTGCTAGTTCTTCCATGGGAAGGGAGAGGGTCTTCTCTACTGCAGATAGATTTGTTAAACCATCTTGCTAGTTATAAATCATTACTTTGGCCTGGCTCTTTGAAAAATCATGGGGTGTATTTTGAAACAAAGCCTTGTTGCTCCTGTTGCCATCTGCTGCTGGCGGCAGCCATCTTGCTGAGGCACAAGCTCAGTTGTGCATCTGGAGAGGAGAATGAAAGGTCCCAGCATTAGAGTCTGGGGCCAGTTTCTGTCCATTGGCTGTCAGGTTTACAAGAGGGATGTGTGTGTTTGTCTTTCAGGTCAGCCTTGGGGTGAGTCACCCTACCATACCCAAGGGTGCAGAGCTCTTGCAGTCTCAGCCAGAGGTGGTGATGCCCAACACAGCCCTGCTAGTGAAGAACCCTCTGGCATCCACTCACATCTTCAAACAAGCCTGCCACCTCTGCTACCCCAAAACAGGTGATGTACTCGTGACACCCTCAGCGGTTTTGTGGGCTTGGGGATTGGTTTCCCTCTTGTTGATCGGACCGTCCCTCCCCGTAGGCCCCAAGGCTGGTGACTACACTTATCGGGAAGGCCTGGAGCACAAGTGCAAGCGGGACATATTGCTGGGAAGACTGCGAAACTCTGAAGACAAGACCTGGAAGAGGATCCGGCCACGCCCCACCAAAACTAACTTTGTGGGATCTTACTACTTGTGCAAAGGTGAGCTGGAGGAGGTGGGGCTGCTGCTGGCAGGGAGGAGGCTGTGAGGCATGTTCCAGAGGGGAGCTTTCAGCAGGGATTGGGTGCTCCCTCTGGAGCGTTCTCGGGCCATTGTGAAACTGTCGCTGGGAGTCCGGGATTGGGGGGCTGGGCGAGAACACAAGATGTGATGGCTGAACCTGTACACACTGTAGAAAACCAGAGCTTTGCACAGTGGAGTGGCAGCTGGTGCTATCGCTCTGGGTGGAGTTCAGCTTGGAAAGAGCCATGTGATCTGTCAATGGAGATTTCGTAGGGTGGTGGGAACGGCAAGACCGCAGCCTGCTTCTCTCAAAGCAACCAGGTTTGTGTGTCCGGCTAAGGCAGTCAGCCTCTCCCCCACCAGCACTGAATTACTAACGTTGCTCCCACCAGCACGTGCCAGGTCTAGCCAGAGCGCTCCCTGCGGAGTAACCAGCCCTCCTGTGGAGCACTGGGGCTTTCCCAAGAAGTTCTCCTAGGCCTGGCCTTGCTCGGTGTGCGAGATGTAACCAGGCTAGTCTCTGAGGTGCTGTAACTATAGTGTGTCTAACAAGGGGTCAGAAGCTCAGATTTGGTCTCTGTCTTAACCCTTCAGTTTCCTGCTTTTAGCTCGCTATGAGGTATGAGGAGCAGGGTGAGGTGATGAGGATGAGCTCAGTTTCTGACCTGGTCGCCCTCTGTGTGGGGTGGTCTGCTCTTTGTTGCTTTGTAGATATGATTAACAAGCAGGACTGTAAGTACGGGGATAACTGCACCTTCGCGTACCACCAGGAGGAGATCGACGTGTGGACAGAGGAAAGGAAGGGAACCCTCAATCGTGACCTCCTCTTTGACCCACTGGGAGGGATCAAGCGGGGCAACCTGACCATTGCTAAGCTCCTGAAGGAACACCAGGGCATCTTCACCTTCCTCTGTGAGGTACAGGGACGAAGGGAAGGAGGGGAGCTCTGTTTCCTTGGGAAATGAGCTGTAGGCACAAACCTCATGAGTTCCCTGTTGATGTTAGTGATGCAAATACAAAATGTAAATCTACTGTAAGGGCTTGAAAGAGCCAGATGGTCTGCCATCCACTGTATCCCACCCGGATCAGCTGTCAGTGTGCAGCCAGGCCATTGGTCCATCTCTGCCAGCATCCTGCTTTCAGAAGCAGCCAATCCCTGTTGCTTCAGAGGAAGGTGACCAAACCAAACCATCCATGAAGTACCGTCGCAATTGTGTGATGCTATCTGTATGGGATGGGGTAACTCCTCCCTGCCCCTGCAGATGGTCAGCTCTCCTCCTGAGCATGCACTTTAACTAACCTGGGCTTTTATAGCTAGCAAGATTGTATAATAACCATAACTTTGGCCTGGCTGTTTGAAAAACCATAGCCATGTGATGGGTAAAATCCCTGGCTGGAGCAAATTAGTGTCACTTCCTTCTGGCCTTAGAATCTATGAATAGACCATTGTGATCATCTAATCTGGCCTCCTGCAAAACACAGGCTGTTTTGAAGCCTGTGGAACTACCCTTGGTTTACACTAGCTAAGGATCAGTCCCTCTTTGTCCTGACCTCCTGCAGCATCTAGGTCCACAGGGTGACTGTATAAAGGAACATGATTTTGCTTTGGATTTACTCTTCTTTAAATTCCCATCTCACTTCCCTCTTGCTCTTGCATTGTTGGATGAAAAGAAGGGAGTGGACCTGGTTGAAAGTTTTCCAACTGCAATGGAAAAAAGTGTTAAAATGTCAAAAAAGGCCAACAATTTTGTTTTGAATTTTTTGTAAAATGTGTTTATTGGTTTCCAAGCAGCTCTCCTGCAAAGTTTCCACCGAGCTTGTTCTAACTTTGAACCTCTTGAGTAAATCCGTGCTGGCCCTTCTCCTCCTTTCCAAGTGAAATCATCCCAGTCTGGGGGAGTTCTCTGGCAGCATCTCCTGCTCTCTGAGATTTTAGAGTGCTGATTTTTTTTTTTTCCTTTCTCTCTCAGATCTGCTTTGACAGCAAACCCCGGATAATCAGCAAAGGGACCAAGGACTCTCCAGCTGTTTGCTCCAACCTTGCTGCCAAACACAGCTTCTACGATAACAAGTAAGTGAGCTGGCCCGTGCCTGCCGGAGTGACCCCATTTTGTGCCCAGTGAGCTAGCTCATGTCTCTTGCCCATTTCTTCTCCTCGGCCCCAGCACAAGGTGCAGCAATATGTTGCCCAGCATGTCTGTTGCCAAGGGATTTGGAGCCCGATCAGAGCTCCTGGAGTTAACTGCAGTGAGCTTGGGTCTGGCCTGTGGGGCACAGGGTTTCAGAGGTCAGACGTTTCAAACAGGGTAGTGCAAATTGCATGTGCAAAATGCTCTGGTTTTGGGGACAAGGTGTGACCCAGGGCTTGGATCTGCCCGTGCAAATGGTTGCTTGTTGTGCTGTTGGATTGCTAATAACTCCTGGGAGCGACTTAAATCCTTACCCATATCGCAGCCCACAGTAACACAGCTCAGTGAACGGGAGGAGAAGGGGAGAAGAGTCAATCTGTTGATCCCTTATGTTTCTCTGGCATGGCCATTTCCCCCTTGCAGGTGTTTGGTTCATATTGTGCGTTCCACCTCCCTAAAGTACTCCAAGATCCGCCAGTTCCAGGAGCATTTCCAGTTTGATGTGTGCCGGCATGAGGTGCGCTATGGCTGCTTGCGCGAGGACAGCTGCCACTTTGCCCACAGCTTCATCGAGCTCAAGGTCTGGTTGCTGCAACAGTACTCGGGTAAGCATGGTACTGGGTTTGGGGTGTGGAGGCAAGAGAAGGTGGGAGCATATGTGTGTGCTTTCTCCAGCCCAGGTGGGGACAAAAAGGGGCTGGCTGAGGGGCTGTCAGAATTCAGGAAATTGTATGTCCTCTCTCTCTCTCTCTCTCTCTCTCTCAAACATGCACTCTTCACTCCCTCCCTTTCTCTCTCTGCTTGTAGGCAATAGAGGAGGGATCATGAAATGCTCTGACTGGGAGGTTGGCCCTTCAGGTGCAATTGCCAGGTTTCTCTGTCTAGGGGCAATCCTGGGAATTTATAGCCCAGTAAGCCTTTACCACAGGACCACATGTGTTAGAAGCAGAGTTATAGAACATCTAGGTGATCAGGGACAAGCCAGCGCAGCTGCTAGGAAAGGAAATCCGCCCCCTCTGATGTTTTACTCTGAGCATGGTCACAAAACAGTGGTAACCAATAGGATTTCTTTGAACTTTCAAAAAACCTTTGATAAAGCCACTCCCAAAAGGCTGTTATGGCAACTTAAGTACTTGGCAGTAGGCTGGCCACCCTTTCATGGAATCCAGTCTTCAATTCAGGTCACTTACATAACGGCACTGAGATCTCTTCAGTCTGACTGTTTTCTCTCCCCTCCAAGTGCTTTGTCTGATTCTCTGACTCACTGCACTCTGAGCAGGGAGATTCACTGACCTGGCCACATCTAGAGGATACGCATGCCTAGGTCACCACGGCCAGAGGGGAGCAGTTTTCTGACAAATAGCGGATGGTCGAGGGCATTCTTTTGCCATCCAACACCACTTGGGTTTTTTTGGATACCTCAGACAGTTGCCCTCTGTGGTGGGGGCTGGTACGGATGAGAGTGAAATAGTTGACCGTGTTGAAACCTAAATATTCAGCATTCGGTATTGGCATTCGTATCCCATTGAGATGTTGGGACAGGTCACACCTCTCAGAACCATTGTTTCAGGCTGTCTGCAGATCAAGAAGAAGCCCTCTTTGCATTTGGAGGGTTTTTTACACAACCACAAGGTCTAGAAATGTAATTTTTAAAAGACATTTTTGAGCAGGATCCTCTGGGAAGAGATTGATTTTTACCCTAAATTCTGGAATTGCAAAATGCACAAGGGCCTGGGTCAGTGGACCCAGATTGATATTATGTGGTCTTTCCTGGGGCTATAACACCACCTTAGATCTGACAAAGAGATGAACAGCAGTGTTTTGCTGGTTTAGGAGGCTTTCAGTGGCACACGGGGCAGCTGCCACTCCAGAGGCATTTCTGGGAGTTCTTGAATAATAAAAATGCTTCTCTGGTGGTTTGGATTTCCTCAGTGCCCTGTACAGACTTTAACAAAATGAATACCCCAACATGCTTGAAAGGCAGACAGACAGCATTATTTCACAAATGGGGGAAACTGAGGCACAGACTGTTCCGACTTATCCAGGGGGACACACCAGGTTAATGGTAGAGCCAGATTAAGAAGTCTGGAGATTTTCCCTAGACTACACAGGCTCTCAGAGCCAAGAGAGTATCCACGTGGTAGTCTGTATTAACAGAGCTAACATAGCAGCTTTCACTGTTTGAAATCTATACAGCTTTGCTGCTGCTGTGCAGCTCTACGTCAGTGAGGCTTTAATAAAGCAGCCCTCTGGTATGTTTGGTGTCAGTGAGCTGGAAGTTGGTCAGACATCTTAAACATCTTTGGGACACCATCAGTAAAGTTCACAGCAATAACATAATTAGGCTTGACAGTAGCCACGCTTATTAAAGATGTCTTGCCACGTACTGCTCCACTGACTATCTGTGTGTAAGCTTGCTAGAGAATTAATAAGTTCTCGCTATTTGATGCTCCGAGAATCTTAATGCTAGTTGGTTGTCTCTCTGCTGGTAGCGTTGGCAAAGGCTCTGGTTCAGATCCTCAAACCCAAACAAGGAGTTAATTCCTGAGATAAGATGTGACCAAGGCCATGTTTCTTTAAAAGTGTTTTTCTGACTGACTTTAGCAGACTTGTAATGGGATGTTGATTTTTAATCCAGAGTGGCTATGCACAGACTTGCACCAAACTACAGAAGGTGCAAGTTAGATCAGCCCTTGTGGCTTGTCTGCATGCACAAGTCATGTTATTTTAACTGCACCAGAACAGTTAAAAGTGCCACAGTCCTCTTACCTTATACCAGCATAGTTTTTCTTGTACAGGAAGAGGAATAAGCACACTTATACCAGTAAAAGGTATTTTATTACTCACACAACTGCCCATACTTGGGGTTGTGCCGGTATAACCATACTGGTAAACAGTTGTAACTAACCAGTATAGTTACACTGGTACAAAAACTGTAGAGACTTATTTTCAACCAAATACTATGGGAAGAGCCATAGCTGATGTGCAATGAAATGTATGGGGTTTTGCGGTTTTGTTTTGTTTTAAGTGGATTCATCAAATCCTTGATCAGAGTTGGGTGACTTTTCACAAACAGACAAACTGAGTCTGGGGGCCAAGAATTAGCTTAGACTTCAAGGTCTGTGAGAGACTGGTGGACTCAGGGGGATGTGCCATATGCAGCCTTTCATCCTTCAGGCCCCAGCTTCAACGTAGGCGCAGGGTGGTAGTAAATGTATGTGACCTGTGTTGGCAGGTCAGTGCAATCGTTTGGTGAGTCTTGGTCAAAATTTTGTAGGACAAGAGCCCACATCTGAGAAATGGCTAG